GGAGTTTAAATATAAATATAAATGTATGTGTCATTCAAGATACATGCAAGAATAAGAGATTGAATCAAGAATGCAGGAAGGAAACACTGTTTTATATTTTCTGTGTTTTACTTGTCTGGTGCAGAAATGAATCACCTATGTAGAGATACTGCTTGCAGCCAATGATGCATGAAATTTTTTGTATAAGATGATGTTATGGGGTAGGACTGGATAAGTCTGACTTCTTCCTACTCCATTCAAACATGTACTAGGTATAAGCAAACTGATTCTGGATTAGCATTGGTTGGATTTGTGTAATTATGTGTGTGTTGATGTCATTTGTTCTGCATGTTTGAAAGAATAAATCAAATCAAATCAAATCAAATCAAATCTCTGGGCATAAAATGAAACTGTCACATGCAGTATACAGTAATTAAAATAATGAAGTAGGCCTACAATCCTGGGGACAACAGGGTTCACATGGGGCCCTAAGATATGGTATTGGAGTTTATTGAGTTTATAATACCTTCATCCTTTTGGTGAAATTCTGATTTAGCTATAATTTAAATGTATGTATTCCTGTAAGGCAGATGGATAATCATGAAAATATAAAATTATTACATGTATTATCTTCTATGCACAAAATATTAATTTGTGCAGACAAGATAATGTTTTAGGACCCATATTAATAGGCTGATTCACCCAGATTTTGAGATGTTTTTCTTTGAGATTTGTACCACCAACCATTAACACAGTATGATCAAAAAAACAACATTCTTTTTTGAAATAGCATAAGTTTTAACTCCTGATGTCATCTTCTTCTTTTGTCTCTCCTCTATCCACTCACTCCAACCGGTCGAGGCAGAAGGCTGCCCACCAAGAGCTGGGGTCTGTCAGAGGTTTCTTCCGTTAAAGGGAGTTTTTCCTCCCCACTGTCACCAAGTGCTTGCTCAAGGGGGATTTGTTGGGTTTTCCCTCTATAATAATAGTGATAACAGTAAGGTCTTGAAGGGTTAACCAGTTCTTCTTACCATTGCTAACTCTGAGAGACGAGACAGTCCAAGTAACTTCAAAACAGTGCTGATTTATTCAAAGGATCACAGGTAAAATTAACATTACACGCTCAGGTATCTTGCACCTCCAAACTGCTCACAGGCAGATGTAAGATGAAAGACCCTGAACCCACTGTGTGTGTCTGTTGGTTAAGTGGTGTGTAGCTAAAAACATTCTCACGACCTCTAGTAACATGTCGTGGCTTAAACATAAGAACCTATTATGGCTAAGGCTACAGTTATACACATCATAATAATATTAAACATCCTGTCTGCTGACAGTCATCAACTCTTCTCTCTAGTTATCCTTGACCAGATGTACCCTGTAGAAACTCATAAGCATGACTAAGCATTTAACAGTCTAACTAGACATCCTATCTCCACTAAACATTTCTAATACATAAAGTATCTATCCAATATCTATCTGACTAAAAATACCTAACAGTCTAGACCTTACTTTGTAAAGTGTCCTGAGATGACTTTTGATGTGATTTGGCGCTATACAAATAAAATTTGATTTGATTTGATTTGATCTTGCTTGCTTGAGTGCTTGCATAGACTACATCTAACATGGCATCCATATATTCAAACATGAGTGGCTTGTACTGTTGACAGGTGGTGGCACTGAAATGCTCAGAGACACCACTGACATCAAGTATTAATCTCATTCTTGATATGAGGTGATGCTATTCGCTACAGGTGCAGTACAATAGAGCAACCTAGGGAGGTCTCTAAAGGTCATTAAAGAGTATTAGATAAGGCTATCACAGGCCTATGGATTACACTAATCCTGTCTACTAGTCTTGGTTATCACACGTATTGCATCACGGCTCAGCCGAAGAGGAAGATGGGGGCCGCTGCTCACTGTACTGCTGTGCTGTTGCTCCTGCTTCTATCACAAGGTAAGTCATCGTGCACCTGCACTGAACTTGATTTATAAAATTCAGGAATATGCTCAATTTTTTTTGTTACCATGCCAATCAAGCTAGGTAATCAAATAAACATTTTGCTGCACAAAAATTTGGAATTTACCATCTTTCATTAAAGAGGTGTCATTTCCAGAGGGTTGCTGATAGTGAGCATTAAGTTTAGCTGTATTTTTGATATTTGCTACAGTACAGTCCTGTTTAATCACATGGAAACACCTGTTCTCACAGTATTATTTTTAAGTTTTCTCTGTCTTTAGTTTGATTAGTTTCTCCTGTAAAATTTGGTTTGAGCTTTGACATTTAATTTCACCATCTGTTTCTGCATTTCATGCATCTACTGACGTGGTATAGGACTAATCACTGTTCGCTCTCAGGAGGTAAGAGGCTATAAATAAAAGGTCTAAAAGAAGTATGATTTTAACAAACTTTGAGAGCAAACTGTGGATGAACTCCTCCTCATGTGTCCTTCAGGAGGAAGAGGAGTCTGTCCAGGGGGAGGACCAGCAGCTGAGCAAGACGTGGACAAGGAATATCAAAGCCTGCACCTGTGACTGCGATTCTGCTGATTCACCGACACGCGCCATTGCAGCCATAATACCTGTCTCGCCAACCTCACTGCCCCCACTGCTAGCACCTCAGGATCACCCACTGAACTGCATGCCAGGTGAGAGCTCCATCTTTGTCACCCGACCTGGACTGTTTGTCCCCAGTTTGGCACTCTCACAGAGACATTGCATGTCTTTTATTTACCAGGACAGAAAGTTTTTAAAAAGTGATAAATGGGATTCACCTTATATGAAGGACAATATGTCAGCCAGCATCACACATATGAAGATTAATAGGGGGCAGCATTGTATCCTGTGGATTTTTAGGTGTGTATGGGGACACTCCAGATGGTGTGATGGATCACACAGCTAATGGAAGCTGGCTGTGTCCTCATATGCACTCGGCCTCATCTTGGCACAGTCTGCATCTCTGCAGTGGTGCACAGCCACTTTTGACCATGATCTCAGGATTTTTCAGTCATGTCCTTACTGTATGTTAAATGTGTTATAGAGATGCTAAAAGTTTGGGGCTGAGAAATGAACAACTGTGCAGAAGAGGCATGGATTAGATAATCTACTTACCTGCACAGGAATGTGATGAGCAGATTAAGGAGTCCAAAATAGGATGTGCCCTTTACCTATCAGCATGACACTGGGCAAAGAAACACACAGCAGATCTGATCACTTTCTGCCTTTTCACACAAGCCTTTGATGTGTCAAATCTTTTATTTTAACTTTATTACTATTAACACATATTAACAGGTAATTAACATTACAGGACTAGATCACTTTGAGGTTTGGACTTTGCTTGACATACTGTAGCTGCACACACAGATGAAATAACTGTCATTTGTTGTCATTGTCTAGCATTTGTTGGTCAAATTGTTTTTACAGAGACTGACTTTCAGTCCTAAAGAACCTCATTTTAGCTTTCAAGTCAAATTTTTTCTATAACTGGCTCCAACCCCATCTACTACATATGTACGTCCAGGCGTCATCATCCACGATTGCACTCAGCTCCAGTTCCCATTGCACTTGAATATGTAGAGAGTTATCTGAAATGGCTAGCATGAGCTTTTTGTAAATATGGGATACAGTAGGTAATTTGAGGACGAGACTAACTTGCCTTGGAAGTGTGGGAGAGATTTAAATGGGATCTCCTTGAAGATCACAAACCCAGCAGGGTTTTCAGATCCTTGGGAAGCAGTCAACTGGTAGACCCTCAGGTCTGAACCAAACAGGGTGAAGCTGCTTTTATCTACTATCCTGCACACAGATGAAACCAACTTCCCAAGGACCTTAAATGTGCCCCAACTCAGCTATTTTCCTGTGACTTTGACTGACTGGTTTCTATGCTGCACTCTCTGCACTGTAACTGCTAGATAATCATGTTTCAAACCTTTTATTTTGTTTGTATTTTAATCTGGTTTTAATGCTTACTGTTTTTCTTCGCCTATGTAAAGCACTTTGAATTGCCCCTGTGTATGAAATGTGGTATATAAATAAAGGCTGTCTTGCCTAAATGCATCAGACAGTGGGTTAGCAGTTCATCTTCTATATGCATGAAACTCTACACTTCCAACTACAGGCATGGCCTGTGACAGAGCTATAGCTCCTTTTATTTGCTTTTGTACTGACGTCCAGACCTTCAGTGTGTGTTTGAATCATACATTAATCATTTTAATTTTATTCTGAGACTGTTGCCTAAGAAATGGATGAGTATAATGATACTGTATACCTAGTAGGGAATTTTCATCAGTAGAAACTTATCCAGTCTTTATATCTTTCACCGCCCAAGCCACCACTGCTTGGAGCTGGGCCGCCCAGTAGTACAGTTTTAAGTTGGGTAAACCCAGACCTGCTTTCTTTTACGCTGCCATCCATATTGCCGACCAGATGTTTAGTCTCCTGCTTTGCTAGATAAATTATATTTGTTTTTCTAGCGGATATGCATTGTTCTACGAATGCAGCAACTTATTATAACATACAGAATAGTATAATAGTAGTGTTTATAGTGACCCTGAGCAGTTGTTGAACTCTAACAGTGGCAGTGTGGCAAAGTGTAAACTGGCCATGCGGGTCAGTCTAAAGTCCAGACCAAGCCCAACAGTTTTAACATCAGCAAAATCATTCGCAGAACATATTCAGTGTCCTGTCAGTTTGACCCAGGCTGACTCAAGTATTGAATCTAATCTAGGCTGAGTTCATTGTCAGTGTAAAAAAAAACTTTGGTGTTACAATACATACAGTATACTCTCCTCCACAGAATGCCCATACCACCGAGCCCTGGGCTTTGAATCTGGATCTGTGACATCAGACCAGATCAGCTGCTCAAATCAGGACCAGTACAGTGGCTGGTACTCCTCCTGGGTCCCCAGCAAGGCTCGACTTAACAACCAAGGCTTTGGGTGAGGCACAACAACCCGCTGTCTTCTCCTATTCATGTCACATCCTGCATCAACTGAAGAAAATAAAGAATATACCTCTATTCTTGTTAGGTGTGCATGGCTGTCCAAGTTCAATGACCAGTACCAGTGGATCCAGATCGACCTGAAGGAGGTAGGGGTGGTGTCTGGCATCCTCACCCAGGGTCGCTGCGATACAAATGAGTGGATTACTAAATATAGCGTCCAATACCGTACTGTGGAAACTCTGAACTGGATTTATTACAAAGACCAGACAGGGAACAACAGGGTAAGTACACAAAAGTCAGTTACAGTAACACTGGAGTCTGTGTGTGCAACAAATGACAAGTAAATATAATATAAATATATATAAGACTTCCATCCCTACTTCCATCCCAAAAAGACTGTGAAAATCTTTCTGCAGCACATTCACAAAAATTCAGTTTTAATCTGTATTCTTCTGCTAATGATTTCCTCTTAATTGTTTTATTGTACCAACTATGATTCATAACAATATTCTGGACTTATCTTCTTGTGTTTCACATTTAGCCTACCTTGTTCACAATAACTGAATAGTCCCAGTGTGTATGAAAATAAAATAAGGTGATAAAAATGTCATGCACAAAGTCACTTTTTAAAAATACATTTGATTTTATTACATTTTAGGGAATATTCTCTGAGAAGAGGTTGGTATGAAGACTAGATCTGAAACAGGGGACCGATTAAGCAATCAGTAAATCAAAATGACCAGGAACTAGTTTGATAACTAATTCAGAACTGTGCAGTCTTTCTTCAGCTTTTTATCACTGCAAACTGAATATCTTTCTGGTCTTGACTCTTTTGGCTTCAGAAAGTGTTATGAGTATTTTTCACAATTTTCTCACATTTTATAGGTCAAACTATTAATCAGTTAAATAAGAAAGTAATAAATAATGAAGTTAGTTCAGTTCTTGGAACAGGGAATTTTGTTTTGCTTTCAAATTGGAAAATCATGGCAGTGTTTAATGAACACAAAATGAGCAGTGAATATCTAGTTAATGCAAAGACATAGAGAATAACAATTTGAGATGCAGTCGGTGCTAATAGTCTACTAATTTCTGTACCATTCAACGAGATATCAGTTGTGGTAGGGAAATGAGACCATAAGAAGAGTGAGCTGAAAGTGCAGAGACATGCTAATGAAGAGATGTGCTGAACATGCTGTCTACTTTGTACTCTTCAGGTCTTCTATGGGAACTCTGACCACTCCTCCACTGTGCAAAACCTGCTGCGTCCGCCGATTGTAGCTCGTTACATCCGCCTGTTGCCGCTGGGCTGGCACACCCGCATCGGCATGAGGATGGAGCTGCTGATGTGCATGAACAAGTGCACTTAACGTTCACTCGGCCTGCGATCCTTCCCCTCGACAACATGCCACTCGCCAAAAGGGGGATCTTGGTCCAGCACTGAAAGATCCATCTACTGTATGTTACATTAATATGACCTGAATTTCTTTATCCTATCTTTCTTGGCGAGGCTCAAAGCAAAGGACATGTTCTTTGATGCACTGTTATAGCTGTCTTAAAATCTCTATAATTTCATTGTTTTATCATAAAAGTACTGGATTGGACCTTTTTAATGCATACAGAGGATGAAGAGGGAATTTTTGTCCTTTAATAAAGCTATAGGAGTTAAATACAAAGATCTAATCTTCAAACCAGACTCAAACATTATTTTACAAAAAAGGAAAATAAAAAAGGTTCTACAAGTTAAGACTCCAATCAAATGAGCTTGTTTTATTTGCGAGTTACTATTACATAACATGAATATTCTAAAATTGTTAAGCATTCATTTGTGAGTTTATGTAGTCAGGTAAATGCCCTGTTAAAAAAAAAAAGCTGATTAACACTGACTATGCTACTAATTTGTGTCTCTAACAAAAGCACAGACCTAATACTTGATTTCATTTAAACAACTAAAAAACATCCTCTGTTATAAATATTACCAAACAATTTGTAACACATCAGTATTAATATAATACACAGTGCTCCTTCAGCAAAACAACGATGTATTGTGTCGAATACATTGTGCAGAGTCCTTAAAGATGCACAGCACAATACAATACAGTCTGGTTTCGACTCAGTGTGTGACTGTTGGAGCCTGCGGCCCCATGTTGTTGAGTCTTCACACACTGGACACACAATAAACATGATATGAGCAAGAATTTACAGAGTGAGAGTGACATTGCTGAGCCACAGTGCAACATTAAAAGGCTGAGGATTTATTTCTGCCAGGCTACTTCCACTTCACTTCAATTTCTTAAAGGCTTGTCCCAAGTGTCTCAGTATGTGCAATCATTTTAAACCACAGTAGCACAGTGATTCCCAAACATATCTACATGTACTGCAGCCCCGGGGGACTTCTGCAGCTAGCAGAAGGTACATGGAAGGATTGTGGTTATGTTAGCTGTAATACCGCAACAGTAACTGTAATGCAATTAAATAAATAATTTGCTAAAAGTCTGGAATAAATACTGAAAAAGGTAAAAGTAATGGATAAATAGATGAAATAGTTAAAATCATTGAAAAATGGTTAAAATAACTAAAAATGAATGATAAATGTTCAACTTCTGTCGCTGAATTCTGAATAAATTAGCATAAAACCACTGAAAGTCCAATTGAATGAAAAAAGCTTAGTAATGTAATAATGCTCACTTTTATATGATCAACATTGTTCCACTGTCTCCATTCAGTTTAAACTCAATTCAAATGAGTACATGTGGAGCAGGATGGGCGGTGCTGATGAAAGGGTCCTTGAGTATATCTGTCAGGGCTGTGGCAGTACACTGTATCAGACAAACAGATTTGGGAACCACTGAATGGCTTTTACATTCCTCTATCGGCTGCAAAAACGACTGTAACAATCAGTGAGAATAAAACTTGCAATCCATTTTTATTAATGATACTTTTACAACATATACTGTAATATTTTGGATGTGTTTGTACATTTTATAACTGATCAAACAAGAGGAACCACCTGGGAACTGCTAATGTGAAATCCTGGTAGTGGGTGAAGTTAACATAGAAATTCATATCCTTCGGTAGCAGCTTCATTCACTGGATGCTTGACATCTGCTCAAAGCAGTGCAGGGTTGTACTACTAATAAGGGCGCTCCATAACATTTTTACATAAACACTGCAGCACATCATTTTAGATTACAGGATCTTCAGTCTGCATAAGAAACAGTTATTATGTTTGTCCTATTTCAAATGATTGAGCTGTAGCCATGGTTTTTATCGTGTATTTGTTTATAATATATAGGAAAATGATTTACACACGTCGTGCATGAAAAGTCAAAGCCTAAATGTTAGCGAGTGCATGTCAGAAAACTAACTGCAGTGCTTCATTGTCTCCTACAGAGGGGGATGTAGGTCAGGATTTCTCTCTGTTTATGGCACCACTGTGTCTAAAATGGCTGCATTTCAAAAAGACATACAAACTGAAATATCCTCAAAAAATAACAAACAGATTTAAGATGTTTAGACTGTCAGTGCCAAATCAGAAAAACAGCACTACAGCTATATTTGTAAGAACGCTTTGACTTGTAGTTGCGTATTTGAGCAGGTGTAACCGACATGACAGAGCACATCCAAAGGCAAAACAGCTCGGACACAGACGTACAGTCCTGGTGAGATGAACACAAATTTACTGATATTACCAATCTCCATTGCAGCAACTGATAAAACTTTATTTGTTTAGACCGCCTTAGACAGTCTTAAGGAAATACTATGCAATAAAATGTACTATATTTCTATGTTGAATAGAAACAAAAATACTTACACTTAAAATCTACACTTTATCCATTTATATATACTGTATGTTTAATTTGTAATATATTTACTTTATAATACAAATTATAATTGGAATTACAGAAGTAATAATATGAAGTCTATCAAACAAGGAAGCATTAAAAAACTAAGACATAAAAAGGCTTTTGGCCCAAGCAGTGTTTAATACTGAAGGTTTGGTATTTGTGTGTTTGTTTCAGCAGGTGTACTGTTACGCAAGGGCGGTGTAGGAGCAACAGAGGGGGAACGGAGGAGTCTGAAGTTGGAGGGGGGAGCTGTAGGGCGATGGAGATCACAGAGCCGTCTCTTTCAGGTCATTGAGGTTTGGCATACGAGACCTGGAGGGGCGCCTGAAGCCGTGTCCGTTCTGGCCTCCCTTGATGCTCATTTGCTCTGGGTAGGGGTTGCCCTCAGGGCGGCCCAGGGCGGACGTGTGCCAGCCAGACTCCAGCTGTCCAGGCAGCGGGTAGGCTGTCTGTCTGCTCTTCATCTGGGGTGTACTGACCCCTGAGTGACCCCGGCTTTCTGCAAAACCACCTTGAGCAGAGCCTGGATTAGGTAGCGGCTGATAGCGCATGTCAGAGGGTGTGGTCTGGTTGGAGGATGAGGATGAAAGGTGCAGGAGCTTGCGCAGTGACTTCAGTGGCTGACTCTGAAAGGGACATGACACATTTCATGACCACCGTATCTAAATCAAACCTTTCAAAACAAAACAGCTGTCTTCCTTGAGACTTACTGGTGAGTGTGAGTCGGACAGTTTGTCAGGAGGCCAGTCCTTGTCCCGTTCTCGGTCTTGGTCCCGCTCTCTGCTCTTGTCACGAGACCTGTGGCGGCTGCTCTGGTGACCCGAGGATCTGGTAAGCAAGGTAGAACCCATACAATGTAAAGGACAACAAGAAACAGAGAATGGTCTTCTTGTTTTTTGTGAGGTGAAGTTAACAAAAGATGCTTCCATCAAATACTTCCATCAGTATTCTTGGAAACAGACTGTACAGAGAGTAATATTAAACCCTCAAAATGTACTTAGGAAAATGTGTGTTTGCTGTTATCCTTTACACATGATGATTTACTATGTGCCAAAGTTATTTTTGCTAATAAGTGTTTGGTTTATACTGAAGTGCATTGAAATCATAAAAATTAAAAAAGCATGCAACTGGAGCCAGAAACCCAAAGTGTGCACTGATCTGAGAAAGAGAAAAAAATGAAGCTTTTAAGGGAATTTTAGACATTTATACAATCCAAGAGAAACCTAAAGGTTTAGTATTTTCCAGCTATTTGCTTGTCATAGAGTACACATGATTTTCCACCCAGCCTGAGTCTGGCTGCCTGCTTCCTCCTAGCCAGACTGCGTTTATTTCTCTGTCATCAACAGTAACCCCCTCCCAGAATCTGAACAAACTGGCACATATAAATAGAAATGTGAAGGGAAGAAAGAGTCTTGGACACCTGTTTCATGCTCAACTGTAGCTGCCACTGCAATGGCAGCCAGCTTAAATGTCAAAATGTGATTACTTTAACATTCAGCAGCTGTTTCGGTTCCTTCCCCTTCTTGATCTATTTTCTATAATCAAGTTTAGATACGCTTTGAAAAATAGAGATGAAATGTAAGCGGGCACAGACTCCCAAAATCTTAGGTGCCTAAAAAGCCTTGGCGCTCTCATTCACCCTCATTTCTTAACCAGACACGTGCTGTTAGGGCTGTATGCTCACATCGGTGGTGACTGATCCGAATCAGATGGACTAATTAAATGAATGAACCACTAATCATTGTATTTAGAAAATGATCAAAAAGAACCAGTGACAACAGGCTTCAAATGGCACGATAAACAGTGCTGATTGATGTTGTTACTGCAGGCGATGTTAGATCAGTTGGTAGAAGAGGGACGATAGTGTAAAACAGCATGTACCATGGGAGAAGACTCTACAGGGAGGACTCTCACAGAGGAACTATGCTTTATGTTATTCTTTGAGCTAAGCAGAGGCAAAAGGCATTTCTTGATAACAGGAGGCCTTCCTTCAGGGACTTGCATCTGTAATATAGAGGCACATCACTGGTGGCACAGCCAAATATGATGCACATGACAACAAGAGACAATTTTAAATCTCTGTAAAGGGCAATATATTAAACATATGAAAAGCAGAGGAAGAGATACAATATGAAGTCAGACAGTTTTACAAACAAGATGTTGACCTCAAAGGACGTAAGCATGAAAGAGTGCATCCAGGCACGCTACCGTCCTCAGAGGTGCTACACATACAGCACAACTTACCATTTGAGTTTTCTTCTTCTTCTTCTTTATTGCTCTGAAGAAACCCTGCTTCTCCTTTTCTTTGGATGGCTCAGAGGGGTTCAGCACCACAGTATCTGGGCCAGTCCTGAAAATAAAACAAATTCTGCTGAGATTGAACCCAACTAAGAATGTACAAGCTCCTAATAGGCCCTGGCACTTTCTTTTAAAGCCACTATGTCATGTGAGTCGTGTGAACATTTAATCTGCTGGTAAATACTGTAGTTTCATAGAGCGGTGTATAATAAATAAAGTAGTATATGTCATTTAGGTAACCTCAGCTGGAGCACATATAAATACACAATGTTCTTTTGTGGTTGGAGGAGATATTTACCAGGGGTCAAATGCTGGCTGACGTTTAGAGTGGTTCGCCAAACTGCTGCCGTCTCCGGTCAGACCGGAGCCCCGGCTCTGACCCCTGCTATCATGGAAGGAGTTGTCTGGCCGGGGAGAAGGTACTGTTCCGCAAACACAACAAAGAAGTTCAATCACCTTTTGATACACAGAGAAAAATAAACTCTCTCTACATTAAATTTAGTAACACCTTGCTGCCTCACAAAAACACACTGTATAATTGTAACTGTCAGATGTGCTCCACCGACAAGAAGAATTAGAATATTATAGGTTAATACGTATGGTACCCATGGTAATCCATGGGTAAAAAAGAAAATACAGCAAAGGACTGTGGTGCTTTTGTGATCATTTGGACTGCAAATTGAAACAACTTCAGTTCACTGAAGCTGTGGTGTGCAGAAACGTCCCTGGCTTTGGTTGCCCTTTGTGGTAGTCTCAAAGACAGACTGCAGTGTGCACCAGTTCCAGATCCTGGACACTGTTGACACTGAGATGGATGGACTAATGCCATCTGGGTTTGTCCTATTTTTCTACAAACTAAATTGTACGCCATCAAACTATTGTGAGTAGAGGAGCCTAAGAACGTACCAGCAGATATTCATATCACACATATATTGGTACTGCATTCATGTCTGCTGATGAGTAAGTACAAATGTTTATACAGAAATTCCAAAGAATTGTTTGAGGCAATTTAGAAACAATGTCTCCATTACATTGTTTGTCCACTAGTGAGCACTGACAAGTTTATTTTTCACCTGTAAAATGTCTGACCCAGGACATTTCATTGTCACTACTTTTATCCATGCTGGCAGCATGGCTCTAAGGATGGCAGTGTTGGTCTGACACTTTGGTTCAGACTGAATTCTCGACAATAATTGGATAGATTGCTATTGTACAGACATTCGCGGTGCCCAAATGATGAACCCTGCTGGTGATCCCTTGACTTTTCCTCTATAGTGCCACAACAACTGAATGGCTTGCCATAAAATGTGGAACACACATTCATGTCCCCCTCATGATGAGTTGTACTAATTTGGTGATCCCCTAACTCAAGACCACATTTTGAATTTGCCCAATACTTTTTGTTTGTTTAAAGCTACAGTATGTAACTTAATGTAGTGCTAGCAGGAAACTCCAAATCAATCCACTCTGCTCTGCCCACCGCTCTCTCTCCCTGCCTTACTGGGCTCTAATACAATCTGCTACGCTCCACCACGATCTGCCCAGCTCTTCAGAAATCTGACATTATGAAATTACAATAAATGAGAATGCAACACAACTTACTCAAGCAGAAATTATTGAAAGTCTCTGATTGGTTAGAGAGGTCAATCCCACTCAGAACTTTTTAGAAGCTAATATCTCTGCACTGCTGCCAGTGTTCAATGAGTCTGGGTCACAGGAGGCTTCGACAGCACCCCTCCACATTATGTTTTGGAGCACATTTCTACAGATAAAATATCTGAAAAAATGTCACATACTGTAGCTTTAATAAGAAAATGTTGTGTAGATCCTTTTTGAAAAATGTTAGTTATGTGTCACATTTTGTTTTGTTATATTACTTAAGATATCAAGATTGGTAACAAGCTCAAAAATCTAGCATGAATATATATTTAAAAATGCTGTAATTGTAGTAATCTGCAGTCAAGTGTCCATTGCTTAAAGCTGATAACTCGATCTCCACAGTGGAGTGAAAGAAAGAGAGACATGCCCAGAAAGTTCACTCTGACTAAACCAACCTCTGTAGAAGCTGCCCACCCTCCTAGGCATGGATTCACTGTAGATGTTGCGGTTCTCTTTGGAAGAACCCCCATCTTCAGTTTGCTGGTCATGATATAAGCCAACCTGAATCAGAATAGAAGAACTAGTCATATAAAACCTCAGAGGTCAGTTGCTCTGCATGCCTCTCTATTTGCGCTGACATTTTTATTTACCTGAAAGAACAAAAATGGAGGCATATTAATTTACAAGTGGTCATTATAAAAAAGCAACATCTGTAGAGGCTGTAAATGTCCTCCAGAATCAAACTGATGACAAGCTGTGATGACAAGCTTGGCTGTGCTATCATAAGTAGTCACATTAGAGGGAAGCAAAGCACATAGGGAAAATGAAGAGGCATCTGATGCAGAGACAGAGAAAGAGACAGCGAGAGAGCCGTTTATGACAGCAGTATCCACCCACATCCGCACTCTTGGAAGACTGGACGTGGGTGGGGTAATGGTGGGTGCAGGCAGAATGTCGGACCTCGCTTTTTTGCCGCTGTGTGTGAAAAGATGCGGCGTTGTCCCTTGTGGAGTCCCTTATTGGGGGTCTGCTGTGGGTGACCTCAGTGGGTGCCTGTTCGCTCTGTTAATGGAGACATGATGAAGCATGAAGTGAGCTCAGCATTGCAGCACACACATACAAATAAACACACACATACACTATATATACACTATATGTGTATATACAGTATATATAAATATACAGGTAACAGGATTCACTGTATATCCTAACAAGTAAGCCACACTTTTGACACTTGCAACATTCACAGATGAAATTGCAGTTATGATAATCCTGCCTGTCCAATTCCTTACAAACCTGGGAAAATGACTACTAAGATCTGAAAACGTTAACACAGATGAAGATATTTTCAGACGCGAACCAGAATAAATCCTGGCTGTATTGTTGAACAAACTGGGACTGTGGCAGAGTTATCCAACACAACCTGGTGTAGGCATTTGATATGACTAGATCCTGTAGGCTTAGGCTTTGCTTAAGCTTGGAGAGGTTTGGTGTGGGCTGATCACTGACCCTGCTCATGTCTTCTTCTCTGGAGGAGCCCCCAGAGTGGTGAGGCAGTGTGCGGTGCTGCAGCTGTGGAGACAGGAGCTGGAGGCTGCTGGCTCTAGTGGGCAAACCCTGCCCCACCACCAGCCCATCATCTGCCCCATGTGTCCTCTGGTGGTCCCTCCGTACGTACATGGAGTGGCGGTGCGGTCGCTGCTGGGAGGAAAAGGGGCTGGTGTATCCCTGACCATAAGCCAGAGGGTCATGTGGGGCAGACAGAGAGTGAACATGGCTCATTTCAACTCCACTCTCCCCAGGCTCCAGGGCATCTGGCGACTGGGCATCCTCTGAGGCCTTGTGGCGGGTGGACGAGCGCCTATAGGAGGAGTCCAGAGTGTTGCTCTCTCTGTCCGAGCGCATGCTTCCTCGGCCAACTGTGCCAGGTCCCAGTCTGTCTACTCGTCGAGCTGCTGGGCTGCTTGGGGCTGTGAGGTCGAGGCAGCTTGTGGGAAAATAACGAGATGTAGGCTCATCAGCATAAAGATGCACATCATTCAAGTTCCCCACTGACTTGGCATCACTAAGCGTGCCATAGCTCTTGGATAAGTTCAGGTAGGAGAACTTGGAGGAAGAGGGCGTGGAGCTGTGGGAGTCCATATAGCTGTGTCGGCTGTGCTTCTCCCCTAATTGAAGTGTGTTGGTGTTCCCCTCCACAAAAGAGTGGTGGTTCTGCTGCGAGCGGAAGTTGGATTTGAGGTACTTGGCACCGGGACCGTCAGACACCTTCATCTCAAAGTCGCCCTTGGTCTTGGTCTCACCAGGGCTGAGCAGGTGAGGGAGGTTGCTGCTGGCCAGGTCCATGCTGCAGGAGGTGGAGTGGTTGAAGATCTGTGGCTGGTAGTTCTTGTGATGCAGGGTGGGGCTGAGGTTGAGTGCTGCAGACATGTTGCCATTGAGAAAGCTGTCATTGTTGGGGTGGAGGTCTTCATGCCGGGGCAGGCTGGAGCACTCTCTGCTGCTGGAGCGGTGACTTCCTGAGCTCTTCCCACCATGAATTCTGACCAAGAGCAGAGAGAAAGGACATTAACATCCATCCATCCATTATCTATACTGCTTATTCTAAAAAGGGCAGGAGCCTATCCCAGCTGACATTGGGCAAGAGGCGGGGTACATCTTGAACAGGTTGCCAGTCTATCACAGGGCTGACACTAACAGACAGACAACCACACACTCACACTCACTCCTAGTGGTAATTTAGAGTCACCAATCAACCTAAGCTACATGTCTTTGGACTGTGGGAGGAAGCTGGAGCATCTGGAGAGAACCCACACAGGCACAGGGAAAACATGCAAAACTCTGCACAGAAAGGCTCCGGGTCCGGCCCAGGCTCGAACCCGGAACCTTCTTTACTAGAGACAAGTAAAGGTAAAATATTATGCATAGTGAAAATTCAGCCAAAATTCATAAATGGTGCTCCTTTAGATCTAAATAATTTCAGTGTGAAGGGGCTAAAATTTGGCACAACTTACCAGTTGATGTGAGATCCTCAGAATATACAATTTTATAAATATATTAGTAAAACATAAGAATTTGGATAATGGGTAATACCCATTACTACAGTAATTATATATGCATGTCACAATTTTCATGTACGGCAGAAATGTAGCAGGGTTATGACATTCTTTGTTGTTGATTTGTGGCAGGCCAGGACCCCTATTGAAATAATATTTGATATCTTGTGCTTTATACTTGTCATACAACATTTTGTTTATATGCTGTGTGTAGTTTGCTTTGTCTTGTTTCATTTTGTGTTTCTGCAAATCAGTGTTTCATGCTAGATAAAATCTATCTGAATACTGTCTGAACGGGTAGAATGCTCTGCAAAAATTTCTGACTGTTAAAGATATTATGGTCTTCAGGGGGCTGTAGACTGAAAACAGCAGATCACTTTTGCACAGACAAAATAAACACATTACAGTAATTTATGTACAGTATGTGAACCACAGTGAGATACTGACAAGCTTAAACCATTTATTGTGCTTACTGCTGACCTGCTGGGGGTGCTGTTGTCTCCGTGGTGAGGCTTTCTCTTGGAGGAGCGTACAGGTGTAGGTGTGGGTGGACCGGACCGCTCCACCAACCGAAGGGTCTGGAAGGTGTGGTGGTTCAGGCTCTGCTCTGTGAGATATCGCTCTGTTGGGTTCAGCATTAGCAAGTTCTAATGCAAAACACACAGAAGGAGCCTTTTGAGTCCTTGAGACTCCCCGAACATCCAGACCTCGACAAACAAACTGAAACAGTCATGCTATCATGAGTCATCACTATTCTCATAAAAGTCAGGCTGCTGCTGCTTTTAACTGTGTCGTGCAGTGTTGTGAAATATGATTAGTGACATCTGCTTTTCTTGTCATAGATTTGAATGAAAGCTGAATCCTGTGTGTATGCATTCAAAATAACACTTTGGAACTGAACTGACAACTAAAATGTTTGAGATAAATAAAATTTATAGTGGCTGCAACTTTTCTCATTTTCTCAGAACAAAAACTGAAGTAATTATTCAGACAGTTACTCTTTGCATTTCATGCAGCTTCACATTAGCAATTACCAAAAATCTATAGTTCAGTTAATGCCTAAACTCCACTCAACACAGTCTGATTAGTCAGGAAAGAGATGCCTGGCCTGGCCGAAGTAAACCCTGAGATGACATTATGTTAGCTGTGAGTCATTATCTGTTGGGAAAAGCACAAGTGCACAAGCACTGCCCACATTCTTGACATGGAGCTCCTGTTTACAGTGCAGACACAGCGATAACAGCAGTGCTGAAACCAGGATATGAGCTGAGAGATGCAGAAACAGTGAAGAGGCATCATGCAGTCATGATGTAAACATTGTGATAATGATGCAATTATGTGATGTCTAGTTAATGAGGAATCATTTCATGGTTGAATAGTGCTTTAATACTACTATATGAGCAAGAATAAGCTCAAACTGATAAAAGACATAAGTAAAAACATTTCCTCAGCACAGCAGCATTCTGACAGTCCTGTGATCCTTACCTTGAGCAAGTCCAGCAGGCTTCCGCCAATGATTCCCAGGTATCTTCGCTCCAGTGTTTGGGGATGGTTCACAGCAGGGAACTGAAACAAGTAGGAGGGTGAAAAATAACACACTCCATCACAAATAAAACATCTGTACTTCATGCAGTGCACAAGTATGTGTCAACTGGTTTTCATGATGTTAATTAGATGAACCTTCATAGAAGTTAGTCAAGGTCCTTTGAAATTGTGTCTTCATACAAATACATATATTGGAGTTCATATTGTTGTGAAAGAAACTGAAGTCCTTCAACATCAGTAGGAAGTTTCCAAATGTTCTCTGTCAGAGTTTTGTGGTCAGTGCCTTTTAAGCTGTTGTATGTTGGGCTAATGGTAATGCTGCCAGTGATGGGCACATGATTAACATGTTTATTAGAAAGGCTGGTTCTCTATATTTGGTTTTATTTCTGCTTCATTAACATCAGAACAAGAGTTCAGGCCATGTTTCAGTTTCAAGGCCTCTGTTTGGTGGTTTTAATGGTATAAAAAGTATCTTGAGTGACTAGTTAAGGTTGCCCAGATTTGGAATGTGATACTTACTTGCTTCCTAAGATATGGGATGTATTTTTAACATAAGTTTTTTTTTAACATAACATTTTAGCTCAAGTGTATCATACCTTATTGTTTAAGGTTTCATTTTATATTTACTGCAGGTTTTATTGGTCCCTGTTTTATATGGACCTCTTATGGTCAGCCTATTATTAATTAGTTGACTGAATGTATTAATTACATTGGAAATATATAGTTTTTTGTAGTGGCTAGGTGAGCTCTCAATCTATACTTGCATCCTGTAATGTACTTGGCATGCTAGTGTCACTAATGTTGCAGCAGCATCTTTAATTTATTGTCTCCTGTGACCTGCTCAGCCTGTGTATCCAGAGAGAGCATTTTCCTGTAGAAGACTTATATGTATCTAAAAGATGGACTTCAGAAGAATTTATTTTCCAAAAATTTCCCACACCAATTAACCAATTTTTTATACACTCAGGTTCCCAAAATTTAAAAAATGCAGCATTATCAAACAGGGTCCTTATCAGAGTATTCACTGTCAGGGATTGACAGAGGGGCAGTTTGCAAACTAATAATTATATCCTAAATCGTAGGCAGGGAAGAGAAGGACGACCCGTGTCTGTTGTACCACCAGCCTGCCACAGAAGACTTATCACAGCCTTCCTTCACATACAGGATACATGATACACGATGAGTCACTGTGATCCAATCAGTCACGGCACAGCAAACTTGGCCAAAGAAAAAAAATGAGAAGAGCGCAGAGATGTAGTGCAGAGAGAAAATAAATAACAGCAGGAGAAAAAGAGCAGGAGGCAGAAAGATTAGAAGGAAAGGAAAGAAGCAGTAATAAGAGCAGGGCCAGGTCTGCAGAGTGTGCCATAGTGAGGGTTGGGGTAAAGCGTGTGAAGTGTGGCCTAACCTTACCCGCAGCCCATGAAACCGAGGGTTGTTATAGAAGAGCTTCATCTGTTCTGGTGGCAAGGGTCCCAGCACTTTCTGAATGGTAAAGAGTTGGTCAATCTCGCTCTCTCCTGGGAATAGAGGCTGTCCGTCGCTCAGCTCTCCTAAGATGCAGCCTACTGACCACATGTCCACTGCCTTCCCATAAGGAGCCCTGAGACCAGAGATTTCAGGGGTTGATGATAAATGCTAGGCATAAGAGTAGCTAGTAAAAGGGTATGGCACTGTCGTAACTCAGTTCTCCGATCCATTGTTGGTTCTCAGGCAAAAAGTGCTGGACATACCCGAGCAGGAGTTCTGGAGAGCGGTACCATCTAGTGGCTACATACTCTGTGTAATTAGCATCAGTACCCTCAGAGAGATTACGTGCAAAGCCTGGCAAGAGAAGATAAAAGAAGCAATACAGTATAATGAAGAGCTTTTACATGTGCTCTACATGCTGAGAGACCTAAAAGTTATTTCAACTGGACTCCCTGAACACTCATTATGATTCAAAGGTTTAAGTTATTTGAGTTAGGTAAAAACTGCACTCATATACAGTAGGAGATTAACAGAGATGAGCCATCTGGGACAACACTGCACCAGTACAAGTTAATGTTGGATACTGTTAAACACATTTCAACTCATAAAGAACTGAAGTATGAAATTATAGATATGAATGATATAAATGTATTTTCAGAATCATGAAACATAACTATCAGTTACACATATTCATTTATGTTAATTGCCAAGAGTTAGATCAGAAGACAAATACCACTCTCATTTTTGTATGTGATCTATGAAGCTTGAAGAGGTCCAACTCTAGCAGCACTTGCAGTATGCTGAACATGTTTATTGTGGGCTTATGGTCTTCGTCAGGGTCTGTATGAAGCTAGAGTCAGGATGTTGTCAGCTTAGGAAGCATCAAGTCAGACGGCAAATCTACAACGTGTTGTTTTTACATTTTGGGTTTTGTACAAATTAAACCAGATATAACATGATATTTATTGAGCCTTAGTAGGTAGGCAGATACTGTATATGACCTGTATGAAGGCCACGATATGCTAACCCCTGGATGCAGGAATAAAGCTTAACCTCTCACACTAAGGTGGCATATTTGAAACATATTAAAGATCCAAACACTGCTTGAGGTTTTATGATGGAGATATTCACTCAGTAATTAACTACAGTGAACCTGTGAACAGAGTTCCCTGCAGACCTCCCTCTTTTATATTATTAATTCAGGATAGGCCCCAAAACTTCCAAAATGCAGCTACCTCCTTATACCCTCAAATGTTACTGTACTGAGAAATTTTTGTAAACCAGTACACTCTGGCTCTTTGAGAAAGTGTTAAATTTTCTCTGAAATAACCAATGAAAGCTATGTCACTAGACACTTTAGACCATATCTGTTCTGCACAGTATTTAGTTGACAGAGCCAGGATAACAGTTTTCCCCTGTTGCCAGTCTTTGTGCTAAGCTAAGCTAAGTGGCTACTTGCTTTAACCTTATATATATAATATGAGATATGAGAGCAATATCAATTCTCATTCTAATGGATCCACCTAACTCCGGTGTTTAACATATTCTCTGATATAGATCCTTCAGGTAAAAATTTAAATAGATATTTTGGAAAATAAAGATATTTACCATTTTGCTGAGAGTTATAATTGTGTTTTTGTTAGTTTAGCACAAAGGCAGAAAGCAGAGAGAAACAACTAGTCTGGATCTGTGTACAGGTTAAAAATAAATAAATAAATGTTTATACCAACACCTCAGAATATCACTAATTTACATGTTATATCTCATGCAAATGTTTTAAGCTGTACAGATGCTAACAGGTGTATTTCTCACCTTCAGTTGGAGCCATGACAGCTGTTCACCCCTGTTTCCAGTCTTTATGCTAAGCTAAGCTAACCACCTCCAGGCTGTAGTGTCATATTTAGTGTACAAGCATAAGAGTGGCATCAGTCTTATCATCTAACTCTTATCAAGACAGTGAATAAGCTGATTGCTCATAATGTTGGACTTTTCTTTTAAAAATATCGAGGAAATAACACTACTGGCAAAGCAGAAGTCCTTGTAACATGAATGATTAACCTGCCCAGAGTGAAAAGTCTGTCACGTTACTATTTCTGCAATAATAAATGAATGGAAGATAAAACCTGTCAATGTGAAGTTCACTTAAGCTAACAACTGTTAGCACGAGCTTTTTATTTTCAGCACGAGCCTTTCTCAGAGTTGAAAGAACCAGCACTAAAAAAAACCTCTGTAAAAATAAATGTGAGATCACACTGTCCCAAACGTAAACCTTCACAGTGGAGTCTGTTTGGCCTATGTTCATCTTCTCAATGCATTTGGCTAACAAAGAACAAACAGCGAGACTTCCGGCCTCTCACTTGACACTGCCTACATGATGTTGGCTATGCCATTTTTTCTGCTTCCCCCCTGATTCGTTGTGGTTCTACCAGATTGAATCAAAGCATGATTATAGCCTCGTTTTCCAACATTAAGATAGGAGAACAGTGCACAGTAGTATCAGCCTGAGAACAAGGAGAGAGGGCTGCACACAAAGCTTTAGATAACCGGATGAAGCCTGTTTGCTGCTCTCCTGAAGCACTGGTTTCAGCCAAATATAGTTCTCTGTTGAAAATATTCCTCTTACATCACAGCTTTCACTGTTTTGACATCTTTCTTACAGAGCTCACAATGTGTGCATATGATAGAAGTGCTCACCAAAGTCACATAACTTGAGGACATCATCAGAGCTGATGAGGAGGTTTTCTGGCTTTATGTCTGAGGAGGAGGAACACAGATACAGTAACATCACTAGATAGAGGACATCAACATTACATCATTACTATCATCATCCCTGTCATTGAATGTTCATCCACTTCACTGAAAAGATCAGGAAAGTGAATGATAATTCTTTATAAAAAGCAGTGAGCAAGAACAATCCTAAAAATCAAATGCTTTCAGTGAAAATTCAGAGATTGTAAAGACAAACCATAACTTATACATCAGATCCCTCAATAACACTGTCACATGCGAGATATACTACAGGCCATTTGGATGCCTGCCTTGTTGCTCTCAGTGTGCCAAAGGCTCACATGGGCCATCTGCCTTCCTGCTCCGGTGCCACTGCTCATGTCTTGTGAACAATAGAATGCTCATTAACAGCACACCAGAAAACCTTTCATGATAGAAGAACAGTCATATGTACAGGATTATTTTTTACAATGTACTGTAAATACAGTTATGGTTTTGTTGTTTCTCAAAATGTAAGCACAGATGGTGCCCAGTGATGGAGCAGGGTGATCTGGTCACTGCATTAGCCTCTTCCTGCTTAGAACGTCTCTTCCCTGTCTCACTAATACTGTTGCTCTTTACTGTAGCTGTTTTTATTATGTGTCCTAATAAAAAACTAAGCACAAGAGAGATTTTACCCCGGTGAACAATGTCATGCTTATGGCACCAGTGGATAGCTTTGATTAATTGGTAGATATAGCTCCGTGCTTTCTCAGTCGGCACACCATTGGGTAACTCCTCAAGCAGTTCAAGCATGTTCTAAAAGAGAAAAAGCACAAATAAAAATCAAGAGACCCATCATACAAGGTGACAGCAACAACAGTGTCAGGGGAGACCTCATCAAGGACTGGTCTGTAGTGTGCTTACCTTCTCCACATACTCAAACACAAGGTATAGCTTTCCTCTTCTGCGGAAGGCCTCTTTGAGCTCAACGATATTCTCCTGCTTGAGGGTGCGAAGCATTTTAAGCTCTCGTAGTGTTGTTTCTTTAACCTCTTCATTTTCTGCATGGAGGTGAAGCAAAGGGGAAATCAGCATCACAATGGGCTAACAAGCAGAGATGAGGATTGGACGCATCCCAGCCGAAATAAAGATGATGAATTGTTTTACCATAAAAACACAAAATACAAATGTTTTTCTCATCAGAGACGGGAGCCCTCCTACCTTCACTGTCCTTGAATTTCTTAATGGCCACAATTTCATTGGTGTCCTGCAATGAAAACACACAGCAGTGACAAATCATCACTCCTGTCAGTACATCATGGCGAAGGGAAAATACAGCATTGCAAATGACTGACAACACATTGACCATTATTATTATTGCCGTTTTTCTTATTGTCGCTACTAGTGACAGTACAGTAAATGGATAATGTTGTTGTACATTTGTATGGGCTTTGGCTTGAAGGACATAAATAAATAAAAATACATTTAAATCAAAACCTACAATTAGGGTGTTCTAATTAATTGAGCAATTACAAACAAAGTAGTATTCATGTTGGGGGCACTGCTCTTAAACCAATACCTGGGTGTGTGTCAATTATCAGAGCAAATCAGACAAGCACCCCAAGGGGTCATGAGAAGAATCTAAGGGGTCATACAACGATTAATGGGAAAGGAAAAGATGAAATTAAAAACCTGCTTCACAACATAATGTTTATTTTTCTTGAATCTTTGCTTTTTTCTTGTAAAATATTGTATAGTATCATTTATCAGACTGCTTTCAAATGAAACCGTCTGAATGTTGGTAGTAAAGCTGTTGAGTGACAAAATGACTGATAAACTGCAATGTCTTGGTAATTGATTTTTAAGTAATTTTGAAGCAAAACTGCCAAATATTTCATGGTCACAGGTTCCCAAATGTGAGAATTTACAACTTTTCTTGGTCTCACATATGAGCAAATTAAATAACTTTGGGTTTTAAACTGCTGGTTGGATGAATAAAGAGTTAAATTCAATCTGGTAAACGTTACACTGTATAGACAGATGAATCAAAAAATAACTAATCCATAATCTAGATAATTATTAGTTGCAGTCCTAGTCTGAGGGAAAAATTCCCCATCAAGTGAGAAGGATGAATCGCAATTATTCACTTCATGTTAAGGGGCTACAAGCATAAAGAATGGGCGCCACTATTCTATCTCAGTGATTCACAACTGAAATGTAATGTGAATAGGATTAGCACACTTGGACAAGGCTTATGAAAAAATCCTGCAAAAACAGTTTTTGTCTCTTACTTACAAAGATGAGTGTCATGAAATAATCAACAATACAGTATATGGAGCATATTGAAATTCCGAGTTGATCGTCACTGAATCACTGTTTTCCTGAGACACTTCTCATCATCCCTCCATGAAGTTCTCTGCGCGAGATGCCCCACCTCTAGACCCCATTTCTCAAGATGTCCTAGTTAGGCCTGGTATTTCTGCCTATGGCTCAGAGCTGTGCTCCATTTTCCCCCTCTCGGAAAGCCAAAGGCAGCATGTAGACATATAAGATGACTCACAGCAGGGTCAGCTTCATGAGCATCACTCTGCTGTGCATACACAAGATAGTGTGAAGGGAGATGATGTGCAGAAGAAGCATATAAATTAAACAACCTGTTATATTCTGAATCTTGTTCACTAACAGAAGAACTAAAATCTGATGAGTAGCAATAGTGCAACTAACCAGAATCAGAAATCCTGCAAATACCAGGCTTTAATTGTATATACTGTAAATCTGAATGTATACATACGGTATGTAGGTGTGCACATTGGTACTACTGCCTGCAGGGCTACCCTGCAGGCAGTAGTACAGAGGTAGTCTGAACTGAAACAATACTCACAATACTGTCATTGTTCTGACAGCATCCTGAACTGTGTCCAAGTATTACTCCTGTAATATCTGTGTATGATAATAAGCCATATTTGAGAAGGAACAATGATCCATTCAGCTACAAGTACTGTATGGTATATCACAATACCATAAATGTATTGCATAAGTGTAGTTTAAAGTACAGGGGCAATGACTTGTAAGCATTCGTGGCATTGAACACTAAAAATAAAAATTAAAACTAAAACCTACAACTTAGCCAACAAATAATACATTTCAATTTCATGATAAATATATTTTTAATACAGTTATCTACAATAAAGTTTGATATACTAATTGAGGTTACTTTCAGAGCCCCTGAACGCACCATAAATCCAGAGCCTTAAAGATATATGTTTTGAGAATTTGGAAAAAACACTACTACAGTTTACTGCCTGTAGCCCTAAATAGGCCTATGTAGTTTAAACAAGCATGTGTTTTTCTTTCAGGGAGTAACATGCTGGAAGTACTTCCTAGCCAGGTGCTGGTTGGGATGGGAATTGAGAATCAGTTTTCCAGTTAAGAACCAGTTCCAAATGATCCCATTCATCAAAACTGTACACTCTGAGGTTATTTTACAATGCTGGCTTGACAACCTGTAGCTTAAGAAGAAGAGTGGGTGTATTTACACATTTTCAGTGCTGACACATCACATTTCGTTAGCCCAGACCAGTTTCACTCAGTGTTAACTATATAAACTATGTGTGAGCAAACATTACGTCTGAGAAATTATTTGGATGCTCTAACATGATTGACTTTTAAATTCTGATACACATTAACAAAGCGCATTCATACAGCTTTCTGTGTTTAGCCAGTGCTGATCGTCGCTGTTTTTGGTTAAAATAACAATATCAGCTGTCGATAACTTAGGTTAACTCCATTTAATAGATTAACCTTTCATTCTGAATCAGGACGCTCAGTATTGGAGGTAAGTAGCTATTGGAAACGTGCTGAAGTCAGTAGGCAGTTAATGTGTAAATACATATTTGATATCTTCAGCTGCTGTGTATACAGTATATTTATTTTTACCATCTACACTGGTCCTCTTTGAGGATGAAAAGTTCAGCCTGCCACTCAAAACTCTTTCCTCAGCCTACAGGCTCCAATGAAGACCTTCATTTAAATGTAGTCCTTCAGAAATATCTGACTCACATACAGAGTAAAAACATTATTGCCTCCACAGCTCATTTCTAATATGACTTTTAAGCTTAAAATTGATTGAATCATATCTCAGTTTATCTCACTTGCTGGTTGCTGCTTACATGTCACCTCAATTCTGCCAAAAAGCAGACATAAATCAAAATGTCAAACATCCATTCTGAAACCACTTACTGACATCACAGACACTACAAAATGTTTTTCTACAGTCGATGAACCGGACAGAGCAGCATGCCACTGAACACACACTTATCATGGCAGAAGGTTCACTTCATTGCTGCCCACAGTTTTGATTTGCTCCTAAGAGTTACAAAGGGCTCAAATGTGAGTCCTCACGTACAGCAAAGCACTCCCATCACAACCACCTCCACCTTCACAGAATACCACCCAAACAACCCACGTAGTGACTTCAAAACTTCACAAACCAAAGGTAACAACCTCTGTCTTTGCTCCAGTTCACAGAACATTACATCAGTCATTCAAGTCAGTTCAGGATGTTTCTGTTTCAAGAACAAAAGTTACGTAGACAGCATTGCAGTCACAGTGATAACATAAAGTATAATTTCACTGCATCTCTATTCACTCTAATTTGTTCACAACCACTACCAAATGATTTAGCTATTTAAGTGTGCATGTTCATGTTAGAGGCATCAAACAGGTTGCTCTGAGACTTTTTGTGTAACATTTTATTTTAAGCTTTTTAGAAATTCCCATGTGGCCATGGGCTGCAAGGCTCATTTCTGTGGGAGAGAAACCAAGCTGGGTAAATGATTATTTACTATGAGTATGCTGTCCCCTCTCCCACGACCTGAGTGGCACAGACTAAAATCAAACATGACCACCTATTTGATTCCTCCTCCAGTGTGTCTATATCCAAAACAGCAGGGTACAGAAGTAACTTGAAGTAGAAATAGTACAAAAAAAAATCTTACATAACGTGTGTGGTCTATTAGTAAACTTCTATTAAAGAGTCCATGGCATGCTTTTCCTTGTTCTAGTATACTAGTATTTCTATGCAAAAGCAACTCAGTTTATACATATCTCACAAACTCTCACTCGCAAGACTTTTTTTCTGACAAAATAAAGTATTATGTGATAATTTAAGGATTTCCTTGAATGGGCATGAACCCAGGCCATTGCATGTCATGTGAGCTTGCCTGACATCCACCGGTGCATCCACCATATTGGCAAAATGTTAAATTGCCTTGTTTGTTATGTGTATTTTCAATAAAGCTTATTTAATAAAAAAAAAAAGAAAGACATCCACCAGTGCCGCTGTAAAAGTGGAATTTTTCGACTGTGTCCGGTTTTGTGGATACATTTTATCTCCTGCTGCTGCACTGTGACCAGAGGATGTGGAGAAAAATACAGGGCCTGAGGTTACTGCATATCTGAGAATGTTCCTGTACAGGGACTGGCTGTTTTACCTGACTAGGTCTAATCTACAAGCAGCCGGAAAGTGAAGCACCCTGCGGCGGTGACTGATCAGCTCATCAGCACTGGATTCCCCCCAGAGCACAGTACCTGTTTGTTTTGACTGCTTGAGGCCAGTGTGTCTGCTACATGTGTTGCTGGTTAACCAGCAGATTAACGACCCATGATGTTATCGTTTGAGCTACGCTACCTGTTGGAATTAATTTCACTACTATGAGACTGTATGTGGTTGCGTGGGGGAAGACTCAATGATCACCAGTTGGATTTACCGACCTTGGACCTACTTGAAAGGGACTGATGTTTCCACTACTTGGTGGGACTTAAAGGTAAGTTTAAAAACACACATTACATGTCTGTTAATGCGTTGTTTCTGTAACGTTAGAGAGAATTGTTGTAAGGCTGGAGAAGTTACTATGTCTGCATTATGCCAATTGAAATATGGGATTCCTCAATTACCTGCTTTGTTTAGAGTGTTACACATCTCTTTTCATTGATACATATAACACTGTTTACCTATGTATGGAGGAGAAATTCAAATTAATTAATGCTGTCGCTGTTCATTGTGCTGTCCATTTGCAGCACAACACCAGCAACAGAAGCTGTGCTCATTCACAAACTACCCTGTCGTTTTAAGAATAGGCTTTCTGTTGTTAACACTCTGAAATAATTACAAACTTTTGGAGTTACGAGGGGTGCCAAGCTAATTTAGGGGTAAATAAGATTAAATATTAAATGGCTGGAAATGAGGAAAATGAGCATGCCATTGAC